TCAATGTCCTAGAAATAGCACAAATAACTCTTTTCCTTAAGATACATCTACACTGGCAGTTTCATTCTGGAAAAGACACTTCTCCCTTCCTGTCCTAAACTGCTGGGAAACGGTAATTCAAAATCTAAGCCTTCTCAGATGTGGATTCTTTAAAGTGGTGGATGAGTTCCACACTGGCTGACATACTGTTAATCTTTGCAAGTTTGTAAACTGATTTATGCTTCCGAAGGGAAAAGGATGCTTTACATTTCAGATTTAGAATTCTGCAGGTTAAATTTCTTTTAATAGTTTCCTTCCTTTTATCTCTTAACTGATATAACACTGAGGAGAAACAGGATTGAATTAAAGATTCCTACCTACAGTTTATGCTAAATCTTTTCAACGGAAATTTTACTTTATAAGCTGTATTTCACTCGCGTGATGAAATATCAACTGCAGCATATGCTCGGTGCCTTGAAATATGACTCAGTGACAGAGAAGGCATCAAGCTAGGACGTGGATTACTCTACAAAGCAGCAACACTCAGCATTACCGGCCTATTTACTTTTGCCCTGGAAATTTCTGGAATACATTTGCAGCATTAAGTTTAGAAAGGGAGGATAGAAATTCCCTCATCGCACTCATCTCAAAAGCATTCATAAGAAGAACAAAGCACAAAACATCATTCAGAAAGACAAATTCTGAATATTACATAGGAGAGGGAACTGGTAGGACTACTGCTGCTCACCAGTGGCATGTATAGGCAAAAATGGAAACACTGCAAACTGTGTTTGCTGAGGGCAGTGATCTTTTATATACACTGCAACAGCTGCTGAAGGGAACTGCACACAACCTCATTGAAAACCAGGAGCAGCCCAAGAATAGATAAAATGCAAAGTTCTGAATTCTGATCCAGACGGACACGTATGCCCTCAATAACACCAGCCAATTTGCTTAAACTTTGTTTCTCCACTGCTAAAACTGAAACAATTTTTAGACTGCTTTCCAAGCACTGACAGTGACATCTCTGCAAGTCTAAAAGTATTCAGCCCTCAGTGTGACCTTCCAGCATTTCTTGTTAACATTCTGTCCCGGGTTCATTCCACATTCATTTTGTTTTTCCATCAGTAGTGGTAACAACAGGTTTAATTATTCCACAGAGTAGTATGTTGGGAAATAGAGGATTGAATTACTCGAATCAGTTTTAATTTAATCTGCCTTTCGTTATGCTATTTTTCAATTGAGAAATCTGAAAATGTGGTTTAGCAGGGCTACTGGTTACATTTCAACTAATAATTTAACTAAGTTAATTTCATCATCCAAACGCAAGTCATGCGTTTGCATAGATCTGGTTTTAGCCCACATACATTTGGTTCAAAGAGCAGTTGTAATTTTTCTAACATTTTATCTAGTTGTTGATAAAAGTTGTTACTCTTTCTACAACACGTATCTGACCGTTTGACTGAAAGCAGCTTACGCTTCAAGTAATCATTCCTCCAGGCCTTCCTTGCTTCCCGGCTGTCTACTCTTCACATAACTCTCCTTCTCCTTTGTTTATTGTTGATCTCCATCATGTCCTACATGTAATTCTCCCATTTAACCATGCTCTGATTAAAAGAGGATTAACAGATTCCGGCCTCAGTATTACTGAATCCCCACGAGGACTTCTCTATATTGATCTAGAATCCAATTATCTTCTATAAAATTACACAGCACCAGTAAGGATGTAATTAACTGCAGGACAACAGCTTTGTTAAAAAACAATCATTTGCATTAGTTTTACGTCTTTTAAGACATAATCCCTTCTTTTTCTTAACATTTTATTTCATTTGTGTTTTCCTTACTGTTGTTATCTTGATTTACACTGGAAACACCGTTGGACTGTCTCTAAAATATGTTATATGTCTGGTATGATTTTTTTTTTACTATCCACACATGATTATTTTTAATCTCCTCAACTATAACATGGTTTATTGTGCTTGGAATTCATTACCCTGATAAATGAAAAGTACGGCAGCCAAAAAGTGGAAGTCACAGAAATACAGCTGATGTTACGTGCTCTCTATTCCTCGCCTGTAGTGTACTGCATCCTCTCTCTGAATAATGAAAAGAGCAGTCGGGAAATTATTTTTTTGTCTTTGGTAACAATAGGCAGCCCCAGGCTCTGGGAGTCCACCCTGCCTTTTATTTCTGCATAATTTATGTCTCAAAGCAAAACCACCCTAGCACTGGTACTAACTATCCCATTTCTGAAAGGATTCTTTCCAGTAAGAAAGGAAGCAAGTTTATTTTGAGGATACAATTGTACTTCTATTTCAGAAATAAATTGGTGGCTTCAGAAAAAGTTATGTAACTTTAAGTAGTCTAAATTCACCCTTTATCTTCCACAGCCATATTATTGAAGTATAATTCCAGAAGGTTCACCAGGCTTTTATTTTCCCTAGCTGGCTCTCTACTTAACCAATACTATTGCATCCCTATTAGAAAAGAGATTTGAATAAACTCTTTGACTAAATTGCTGTATCTGGTCTATACATGTGGTCAAAAAAATACCTTCTTGGCACGCAATAACTCCATTGACTGTCATTGTACTTTCATTTTAAGAATATTTCTCACCCTAAATGTTAAAAAAAAAGGGGGGGGGGGGGGGAAGAGGATTTTTTCTTTTTTATAATGGAAGAACAGTTTAACGGAACCAAATCTACTGTCTGTGCATTTCAGTCTGGATTGCTGCAATTGCCCTGTCTAAGGGTGAAATGGTACTCCAATCGCTACCAAGCCTAAATGCCCACCAAGTCTGTAGTAGAGGTAACAATCACAGTGCCCCACTGGAATATCACTGAATAAATAACTTGGTGCAAAGCCCCTGGCTTGATATTCACAGCTCTTGATGGGAGTAAAGGTTTGAAAGACTGCCTCTCCCCCTGACAGCTATTTTTCACTTGGGTAATGAACATGCCTAACCCCCTAAGAAAAACTGGACAACATTCAAATTACCTAGACTGTACAGTGCAATTAAAAAAAAAAAAAAGCATAAACCCAGAGATTAAATCAGTATTTATCACTTTCAAAAAGGAATGCATCGCTTCAAGCAAATTGCACCGCAAAATAATTAGGTTATTTCTTTCACAGATGGGTACCAGCAGCATTATCTGTAGAGACATGAAGGACATTTCAGAATTAGTCTTTAGATTCCAGAAACCCCTGATTTTTAAAGTGGGAAGTTTGCCGAGACTAGCAGGCTTAAAATAAAGGCATTTTCTGTTGATGGGAAACACAACCAGAATCAGTAATGATCCTTGTGTGCAAGCTGATTTAATATTTAGTTCACAACCAACTATTACTACAGTATAAACACATTTGACTTCAGAAAGTTAAGATCCGTGTTTGAAAAACTGTTCTCAATAGCTCTGAGCGATGCAAACCTCATTTTGCTGGTTTCCATTATTTGTATTTTGCTGGTTCCCATTATTCGTATTTTGCTTTCTAGACCTTTAAATGAAAAAACAAAAACCTCAAGAATCACCCATTACAAGGATGGATATTGGCCTGGCTTTGCTACACCACATTGTGGTTAGCAAATTGTCCCCTGCAGCTATATCACTCCCCCACCCCTTTTCCCAGTATATATAAACCCGATGTATAAAAGCCTAGTGCACAGTGAAAGCCTTCATGTCATTTGCCCCTATACCAATTTGAAACCAAGACCATAGACCACTTAGAATTATGCAGTCATTAATGTTTCTATCCAAACATTTCAATTCAAGAAACCATTGATAGGAGATTATGAATGGACAACCATTAAAGCACTTAAAAAAGCAACCAGTATTAATGATTTAGTCCTTTGAAATATTGATTCTTGACTGGAGATTACTTCCAGCAGTCTGCACATCTCTGAATAGTTTTTCCATGCATACTCCATGAAATCATGGAAAAAGAAAAGTTTTGCTTCAGCCCACACTTTTTCCATAAAATCACTGGTCTTTTGTGGAATACAGTCCCCATAAAATAGTGCATTGGGAGAGGAGTGTAGAATAGTTACTGTATGCAAAAAGGTTGTAGCAAAACAGGAAAGTGATTTAGATCTTTATTTCAAATTTTTGCTATTCCTCAAAAAGAAAAAAAAAGTTTTAAGGTTTTTAGTTCTGAAAAATCATTTTGTTTGATTACGTAAAGGTCTCTCACAGGTGATTACAACAGAGAAATAAAACAATCACCAGTGAAAGCACAGTAGACCAGTTGGAATACATAAAAATTAGTATCTGTATAAAAACATTAAAGTATGTAGGGTATTAGTTATCTGCTGTGGAAAAGTCTGAATAATTTGACAGGGGAACTGCTACAGGTCTTTCAACTGCTTCATTTTCTTTCATGATGGTCCATGACCATGTGTGAACACAGTGACTTTTGGAAAAACTACAGTTTTAGCCCCCAGAGCACAATGAGACCTAGGTAACAGCACGACAAGCCTCTGCTATGGTTCTTCGATATGGCTTCACAGTACTGTTATGTAGGACCCATTTTTGAGAACGGAAAGGATAACGCAGTCTCCAGCACCCATCCAACCCTTCATTTCTTACCCAAGACTAATAAACAGAGAGGCTGTTATATTGGTTACTTCACATCGAATGAACAGAGATCACCAGCTCTTTCCTTAAAGACCAGGGAAGAATTGCTTTAGTTTAAAATAAGAAGGAAAGTAATGAATGTAAAGTTTAGCCCAAGAACCCAAAGACAGAAGAGATTCTCCTTTCAGGAGTTCCTGTTATGACCCAAACTCCTGTCTTATCTGCCTTGTCAATGCCATGGATTTCACATGTGACCCATCAGCATCTCAAGACAGCATTTGCCCTTTGATATCTGATCATTAATAAACACGTTTGTCAACTTTGTCTCACAGTAATTGCTAGTTCATATCTATTAATCTGTTTGTTATTAGAAGATAATTTCAATCAGAATTCTTAATCCAAGACTGAAAGGACTGTTTTTAAATAAGGAAGAAAATCAGAGCTTAAAACCAGTTTGTGTAACTAGGTCTAGAATTTATTACTCCTGAGAGAACAAAGATACAAAATACATGTGAAAGCTACACAAAGATTTCTACAAAGTAAAAAGTAGAAAGTGGGAAAAGGGAAAGCTACAGTTCAGTGGTTACACAGAAATGTATGGCATGCATTAAAATACTGCAAATTCATGAAGTTTTTTTTAAGTGCAAATGGTTTTTTTTAACAGTTCTTACTGAAAAATATGCAAATTGATACCTATGTTGTACACTTGTCATATTATTAGAAAGATACCAACACAAATCTATGCATTTACACATCAATATGCCTGAAATACATTTTGTGGTTTTGTTATTCATAGGCACTGGTTACAAGTCTGTTCAATACTCAGCCTCAGAAATTAAGTGGTAGCGCTTATAGAACATTTCTCAAATACTACTAATTTGCATTGCCATTTATAAGCATCCAACAACCAAAGAAGTATTTACAAATCATCAACCATACAGATAAAGAACAGTATCAAATACTCTGTGTAAAAAGATAAATAATTAAAATGTATATTCCCACATCACAAAGAAATGTGATCATACAAATTATGGCACCATATGTTTGTGAAACATCAAAAATAAATGTATAGCACATAGATACCTCTTCTTATATTTTACATTAAAATGTACAGTACAGTGACTGTAAAATGTCAATGTCATAACACCCATTGTCTTCAAACTCTTGTTTCTGGCAACGGCAATTATTATTAGAGTCCGTGTTTATAAAGGAATTCCATACTTCAGCCTTGGGCTAATATTGCTCTGTGATATTGCTAGACCATGAAACTTACATCCTAGAAAATGTTACATATTTTCTTTTAAATTTTCTAATAGAAAGAGCTGTTTCACATGTGAATATTCTGGGAGAAAGTGTGATAGAAGCAATCTATTTCTCTGTGTAGAAAAGGATGGGTTAAAAAAAAGCCTGCAACGTTTTTATTTTTAGTCACAAATACTTAATTTATTAGAGAGCTATTTTTTAAATTAAGGTTTATCCATTTCCAATTTCAATCATAAACAGTACTGCAATTTTCAACACATAATTAGGGTTTCTGCTAAAGCACTTAAACTTCCAAACCCCAATCATGTATTTCATTATGATCAATAGATCAGAAAATCAGAAACGCAATAGTGAGATGGAGCTCAAAACACTGATCTCCTGTTTTGTGCTCCAAGGGTAAAGAAGGAGATAGAGTATGGATGTATTTGAAAGGTTTGCCTGCATGTGTCCATTTCTGGCCACATGTCAAATCCAAACAGACGTACTTAGTTAAAGGCAACCAGAAATATTACAGTTAGCACAGACTAAGGCAATGAAAATATTCTTTTTTTTTTCCTTTTTTCTTTTTGTAAAAAAAATTAAGGTGCAGAGAGAATTTCCCTTCTTGTTTTAATGGGTGCCAAATACTGATTAAGAGTGCCAAGGAAAAGTAGTTTTACAGAAAAGGAAACACTATTAAAATCTAGAAATACCTGAATTTGATCTTTGATATCCAGACTTTTCCTGATTACCTGTAAAAGGAGTTGGGGGTGGGTAGTTGGCTTCTGCGAGTTTACTGACGTCTGACGGTGGTGTTGGCGGTGGCGGTGGTAGCAAAGTGCTGTTAGGGCTACTAATATCTCCTTCAGCCACAAGAGTCAAGTCTGCCACATTCTCATCATCTACCATCTGTATGCCTTCAGCTTGTAATTCTCTTGACTGCCTTTTCCATATTGCTGCATTGTTTTCCTGTGCATGCGGAATTGGAGACAATGCAGTATTAAAAGGAACACTGAAAGTCTTCTGACTGTGGAGTGCTGTCAAAGCAGATTTATGTTTATTTTCTGAGTAACCCTTTTTCTTAACTGAATTTTCATTAAAGTTTTGTACGGACTCCTGTTTTCCACTTGGTGATGTACACCCATCCTTGCCATCATTTTTTGAAACTCGCCTGTTGAGGCCTTTAGGGCCTATGGGAGTAGATGAGGATGGTTCTGGTCCAGTGGGCGGTAAACGAAGGAAGTCAGGAAGAATAAGATCTTCTTTCCTTAGCAGTCCACGTTGGTCATCTGCTCTGTTACTTTGAGCTTTGGATATGAGTTCAAAAAATTCTATTGGGGAAAAACCCAAAATTGACAAGTTTTTGTCAGAAAGTGCAATGTCATTAAAACACAAATTTTCAGCACATTTATTTTCCATGAAGATCTTCAATTCTTTCAATGCTGCCTTGAAATAAGATCCCATGTTAATTAGGAACTTTTTCAATTGCAGCAATGTTCGCTAGCATCACTATAATTAAGACCATCAGGATTGCTATTGTAAGAGGTTTGCAGTTTAAAACAGCTGCAATTCACTGAGCCTTGAACACATCTTCTATTTTACTCAGTTAATAAATCTGAACACACACACACACAGAGGAGTTTTTAATTCTTAATACAAAAGGCGGCTCTGGTCTCACTGACAATGGGTGCACATTTTTATATTCTGGATGGTTTTTATCCATCTTAACTCAAAAATAACCATGCCATTTGAAAGTTCAATGATTCAGAATGTTGTAAACTTCCTAGTTATATTGACTTTCTCTCAGTTTAGTAGTATTTATCACAGTTTAAATTCAATTCACGGTGTAGATTTAATCCAGGATGTTATCATCATAGGACATGATCAGATGATGATTTAAGTACCCCCATGTTATTTTGTGCTGCAATGAATCAGTAGCGTACAGGTAGTCAATAACCATTAAAGAAGCCATTACTAAAAGCGATGGGGCAGCTTTTTAATAGAATTTTTAACACAATTACAAGGAATTTTCTGATCACGTCCTTAATGATGTCCCATGGTTTAATATGTTTCTATATATAAATAATACTCACAGTAAATCACCACTGTTCTAGAAAGTCTCAAAACTTGGCAACAAGAAACTTATCAATCATAAGCCAAGAATTATACAACTCCTTAAAAAAGAAGCATCACAACAATTAACAAAATCTTTGTTGCAAAACATATAAATATAAAAATATGTAATTCTTAATACAGGGTCTCTGCACGTCCTAATTTTTCAACAGAGCATTGAAACTACAGATTAAAGATGCTTAAAAGGCCATCTCCAACAGATGCACTAAAATCAATAGCTTCAACCTAGCTTATAAATACTGTTTGAAGCCAAAGCCATTACAAAATAAAGCACAGACTGTTAGTATCAGTTTTAACTTAGCACAATATGAAGTCATACACTTGCACTTGTATGACCGTATTCCTATCCTCTATTCATATTTGGCATTCATAAAAATGACATTTTAACATGCTTTGTCAAATGCCATAAAACCTGAACGTAGCCAAGATGGAAGCTTCAAAATGCTTCTTATTGCCAAAGTTTTGCAAAAATGGCAGTATGCATATTAAAACATGCAACATTTCTAATATGCGTAGTACAAAAAGGTTTTTTTCTGAAATAGCAAACTTCATAGAACAGTTGTCTTTTTTTTTGGTTTTGGGTTTTGTTTTTCTCTTTTTTTTTGTTAGTTTTCCATTAAAGTACGCTCTACAACATTTGATACGCATTTTCCAAACTTGGACAAATTACACAAAAATCAAAATAAAATGTGAAAGCCTCGAATTCTGAAGTTTTCAAATTATGTTACTTTTACTCAGCCCTAGGAAGAAAAATGAAAATATTAAAATATTGAAAACAAGTTAACAAAATAATAAGCAACAGAAAATAAGTTAAAATGCACTAAGGTTTTCTAATAACATTTATATTAACAAACATCTATCCTGCAATAAAAGTTTCAGCCATAGCTTTTTGTTTTAATTCTAGTCAGTGGACATTTATTCACAGATGAACATTCATTCACTATATAACTGTGCATAACCATGCTTTGGATATGCACGCTATGTAACTTCAGCAGTAAATTTTAATCTGTGTGGCTTGCAAAGGGTATCAAATGGGATATTCAACTGCAATTGAGTAATTCCTCTGGATTTTACCTAAATTAGGTAACTTTCACTGTTGAAAATCCCACTAGGCAGCTACATCTACCTTTAGGTATTCTTAAAATCTCATCTGCAGCTTCAAAAACTTCACACTTCAAACACAGTATCAAACGAAAATGTAAGCATCATGACTATGATTTCCACAATACACTATTAAACACATGATATGTTTTGCTACACGTACACAAAATTCTACTTTTTCTAAGACTACTTATGTTAATACTATAAAGTTCACATACCCTCTGCTTCATCCAAATTTATTTTCTGACATTTTTTTTTCCCAATCTTTGCAATAGAGTCTTCTCTCTTTGACAGCCGGACTTCCCTAGCATTTTTTCCATTTTCGCCTTTCATTTTGATAGAATTAGACTTTCCTAGACTTCTTCCCTCTCCCTGCATTAGAAGGAAAGTTAAGGTACTACTTACATTTAGACTATATCATTGTATACATAATATGTTCTAAGTGAATAAAAAGATTAATTTGAAAATACATTTCTCTTTCACCACAACGTTTTAATTTAATCTCGATTATCGTAAAGAACTTTGCCATAGTAGTACCCAAAAATGTATAAATAAACATAATATGATTTACTCTGAAGAATTCACATAACAGGAAGGGCCTTTGAATTTCCAAGTAATTAATAATTTCAAATATAGATAAGCCAACGAAACACAAAACAACAAACACAACACAGTGAAAGAGCTACTTGATTCATCATGAAGACAAAGTTCTCACAAATAAATGCTGTTGACAGTGGGGAAAATATCAAATGAATTACAGCTATACTCAAGCTAGTTACAGAATTTGGCGGATTCAGAATCATGGATGAATGCAGCTTTGAGTATAGAATTACAGAAAGAAGCAAAAGATGATCTAAGGGACAAAAATCATTGCAGAAGACTTACAGTAAATACTTGATTCCTTGAAGTAGTTACAGTTGCAGTCTGTTTTACTGATGCACCTTTTTGTTTATCTGTAAACACTGAACATAAACATACCTTCTGTAACTACAAATTTGTAACTTCCCAATGAAGAAATATTTAAGTGACAATGATGCACAAACCAGATTATTTTGCTTTAAAATTTCCCACAGATGTACTCAGAAAATAAAGAGTGAGCAGAGTTGACATCCCTCATATTTTTCAGTCAAAACCTAACAGAATCTTCCATTCACCTTCAAAGTCTCCTAACACTGGCAATACTTTTAAATTTGAAGATGCTGACATTTCGTTATTCTCCTAAATGTTCAGTTGATTTAGAACAAATAGCTTTTAAAATCTTAGCTAATAATTCAGTTTGCAATTCTCAAATTTAGAATTTAAACAATCAGTCGCAAAGGCCACATAAAGTTCATGTTGAATCTTTTCCAACATGTTTCATGCATTGTTTTGCAGACTTTTCCATATCCTTCTCATCTACTTCTAAGTAATGAAATGGCTCCTTCAAATTACATCTGCCTACAACAAATACACTGTTGCAGACTGAGCTGCAAACACAGAACCATGGCCCTTTTTCACTGGTATATGCCAAAGAATCAGCCTACTGCTGGAATGGTCCTCTATGATTTAGGCTTTTGTAGCAGTTGACAGCACATAGGATGGCAGTTTTACTTGTAATCCTTAAACTAAATATCTGCAAGAGTATTTGGATTTGTATCTTTTATCAAAATGACAACTGGTTCTGTTTCCTAGAAAAATGACAAATCTGATTCTCTTCAATAAATACTTCCATCTTTATTCTCATATTTATTTCTCAAAGAGAATTTCTGCTCTAAGTCAATTTAGTTTAACCACATTGCATTTCATTTTTAAAACTAAGCATTCTATGTTCAGAAAAAGGTCTCCTAATGAAAGCAAACCTTCACCTCAAGGCCTCTTACATTAATCTAGCAAAAAGTCTGTTAGCTGTTATGTTGATCAAATACAGTTTTTCAAAGTACTTTTTTACATAGGGAAATCACAAATTATATCCTTTTTAATATTATCTCCAGAAGTCACTAGTTAAAACTGGAGATGCAGACTCTGCTACTTTACCATGTTAAAGAAGAGTTTTGCCACAGCAGTACATGCAGCTGCTGCAAAAACTGCATCTGTTTTACTTATACAGTATGTTTCTTATGAATAAATTGCCAAATTCACAGAAGCTATTTGGCATTTTATTCTTATCATTATTACTAGGTTCTATATCCCTAAATGGATGTGTGTATCTATGGCAGAACGCCAATAAAACATTCAAGTATTGCTAGTACAAAATTTCATATAGCAACAGTCAAGGACTTGCTATCAACAAATTAATTTATTCTTCCATCCTTAGAAACTGCACTCCATTTTAGTTAAAAAGAATGTATGTTAGATGTGACATATCTAAATTTAATCACAGTTATCTCACCTGTGCATCAACAGAAGAAACTAACCAAAGTCAAGGTTTATGAAACTCAGTTGACATGATAAATAAAAGCTTTTATGCCAACTTACCTCTACCCTTCGATGGCTCTTTTTCATCTAGAACAACCCGCTGACCATCCAGATTAGAAATAGGGACACCAAGATCAAGTGGTTCCTGCTCACCATTCTAAAGTCGGATCACAGTTTGTATATAATAGAGAAAAAGCTGTTTTCAGAGCAAATTTATGCAGTCTGACATTTTTTGAAGGAAAATAGCAAAGCATTTTTAGGTTTCAGTATTACCTCAATAAATCTTTTTATTACCATTCCAAAAATGCTTATTCTGTTTGTGTAAAACTGCCTTGATTACAGTGAGTGTTACCCATTTATGTGAGGAGAATGGTATTTGGGGAAAAGAAGATACAAGTAGAAAAAAACATCCAATTTGCAAAATGGCACAAATACTCTAGGATCATCAGTATGTTCAGGAAAACATATTTTTCAGAGGAAGTTTGAGATTATTTTACATTCTAAATTACTTGCAATTTGTAATTTAGCTAACTTTATACCAATAAGTTTTTCAGCTGTTTTAAAAACATGCCCTGGTTCAGCCAAGACAGTATGCAGCCCAGAAATACCACAAAAGGAGCTTTCCACTTCTTGAATTTCCAAAATAATAGAATAAAGAGAATGCTGGTCATGTTTAGTAGTAGAGAAGTTGAATCAGTTGGCTTCTGCAAAAATTTTCTGCAAGGGAATTTGAGGCAACTTTCATGATTCCCAGGATAATGGAACAATAGCTTGTTAAAGCTATTAATCTCCATCAACTAACTTTCCCTGGCTAATAATGGGAAAAGTTGAGCTCTGGAATAAGCTAAATTCATGCTCTATTATTTAGGATGTTGGATTTATTCTGAAAGAGAATATGAAACAGATGCAGACTGAAGCTTTGAGGTAATTACTATTAAGCATGATGGTTATGACTACTACGCATTTCCATCTCAACATGTAGTTATAAATAAGGATTTTAATACCTAATTATAAGGATAGGAATAATTTCAGGGACTACTTTCTGATCTTCTCCAGACAAAAGATATTGCAGCTTGAATTACATCAAAAGATACTTACTAGTCTTGCCACAAGTTCGTTAAGATTTAAACCATATTTTGCAACCACAGGCCTTAAGACCTCTGTCACTGGTTTAGTGGGTTTAGCCTTCAAACCAACTGATCGATTGATTGGAACAAGATCCAGGCTGAAACACATCAATTGTAATATTAAGTATGAAATATTCCAAGAAACAAAATCTACAGAATATACAAAATTCAATCTACAGCAAAGTTGTACTAGTTTACAGCTAGTGACCCTGAACATTCATTAGCACAAATCTATCCTAACCTGAAGGTATAAAGCACTTTTAACACAAGTAAGACTTCCACCATTTCACTCGCCAGAGCTGAGTGAAGGCATGAGCCAATCTAATTGCAAGGTGATCCTCAGCCCAACTAGATACATTCCATAGCACTTTCATCTTTAAGGTGAGATTGCTCTATTTTGGTCCAGAAGTGCTTCCAAAGTGATTTCATGACTGTACTATACCTTAGATGCAAGAAAGAGATTTCTTTCTATTTCCAGAAGAGACTCACAATGTCCTATTTAATTTCTTGAGGTGAGCTTGGACAGAAATTTTTAGTTTTACTTTAAGCACTGGAACAAATACAAGGTAATGCTGGTTTCTGGCTAGATGACATATCACAAAAATTGTAAGAGAAGCTTTTATGCAAAAGCTGTAAAATCATTCGGTTGGAATTTGAAGGATAAAGACCGTTCAGACTCTATTCTGCAATTTTATGACATCAAAAGAGAAAAAAAAAAGATCAAATAAGAAGAAAATCTTTAAGCCCAAACAACTATTACATTTATGTTTATTTCCCCGCACAGATCCATGGTTAGCTTTGGGCTTAGTTTTCTTTAAATGCTTCTCATCTGTGCCCTGATTCCTGCATAACATACACATTTGACTATGACAGCATTATAGCACAAAACCAAAGGAAAGCTTATTACTAACAAAAATCTATCAAAAAAAAATATTACATCATCAGGAGAAATTAAAGTTATTAGTGATTTTGTCCAACACAATTCAAGGTAAACCCCATCATTTCTTTTACACAAATTAAATAGGAGATGTTTAGTCTTATTGACTTTTCCCTTCAACAAGGGACCTTGATAACTGAAAATCTGTCTTTCATATTTTCTCTAAATACAACTGCTACTAAATAGAAATGATCAATTTCAGTCATGAACTGGTGTGGAGACAGTGTCCTCACAGGAGAATGGATAAATTGGTACATAAACTCTGAATAATCCTGAAAGATACAGCAAGGCCATGAGAGGCCCCAAGAAGCTTAAGCAAGCAAGATAAGAAGAAGCTGGAATTCATTGAGTTAATGAGAACTGTGGACTGTTGGCAAGCTTTTGAGGTCAAGTTCTCACACCTGTGCTTAACCAATTATATGTTAGTCACTAAGGGTCTTCAAGACATGTATCCAATCATAATATGCCAAATCACTGTTAAGTGCGTGTAAGAAAAAGTGTATAAGGAGTTAAGGCTTTGCAATAAATGGCTTTTGTCTGATCATATTGATCTCTGACTGAGTCCATATATTTTCTGTGGCAAACTGCTATTGACACAGAAGTGGCAGACATTCAGGTAACCAGATATACCCACGTAATACTTCTCTTATGTCTGAAAATATTACAAATATTGGAGTGTTTTTGTTTACATAGTGTCTACCCACAGAAGGAAACAATGTAGAACATTTCTACATTTTAATTAGCACACAAGTAACATATGGTGCTGCCTACTTACTGTTCCTTTTTAATTTGAAACCTCAACAAACTAACACCTAATAAAAGACTGCTCAATCTCCATTTCAAAATTGAATATGCTATGCTAATATTCATTAACCTGAAGTACCCATACATAGAAATAGCCCTGCTTCCTAAAGAAAAGTTATATAAGGGCAAGATGAAGAATGCCTGAAAAAATACATTTTATTAACTTCAAAAGCACAACTCAATAATATAACAAACATTCTACTTCCCAACCTTTCCCTCAAATATTTAGTTCAGGTGTTTTCATCAAACTAGTTTGGTTTTTTAGAATTTAGGAACATTAAAACATTTTCTGGCATTTTGGAAAAAATACATTATTGGGAAAAACTGCATGCTATAAAATATTACATAATACTACTATATAATATACTGAATTATATTATACCTGTATCAATAATAATATTATAACATTGACTTAAGATTCAGGGTTAAAAAACTTTACTCAAATGAATTTTTATACAATTAGTCTTACTGTAATCTGCCAGTTAGACACATCACTACAGATGCAACTGAATGGGAATATGTAGTCAATCCATATATCCATTTAATATCAAAACCCTGTTCTTTTATTGTTGCATTTAGGATTAGACTAGGAGACTGGCAGTTTGATTCCCTTTCATTCTTGTGCTGCTTCAAACTGCTAAACATGTTTCTTCCTAATGTGGAAGGGCCCTCTGCGCCTCAGATCTGTCCTTCATGCTTGCGCACAACTGCTTCATCTTGAGACATCGTAATAATAATGTAAATATCCCTATAGTGGAATGCTGGCATCAAAATCCCACTTGTATCCAAGACAGCAGTACAGAAAGCTTCCATTTCCATCATTTTAAAACTCACCATATGTTTCTCTACTCAGTTTGAAACGTTCCTCTAGGACCACATTTCTCCCATTGATCCTTACCCCAGTTGCCCTCATCTGAACTACTTTTTAGAGGTATCTCACCATTTAGAAGTAATCTCACCATTACCTGTAGAGGAAGCATTTAGTAGCTGGCTCTAAAACTAAACAAATCTAAGGGATATCAGTGCCTGTAATCTCACCATTACCTGTAGAGGAAGCATTTAGTAGCTGGCTCTAAAACTAAACAAATCTAAGGGATATCAGTGCCTAAATGTAGGCAAGATACTTAGGCACTTGTGTAACTCAGAGAATCCCCATGCTAAATGCATCTCTTATATGTGTGTTATTGCACACAAATGGATTTTAACAGAAACTCAAACTGTGAGTTAACAGTGGAAGTCAATCGTTTTCAGTAACAAACATTGGTCACCTTCCTTATTCACTGGGACTTTTTGCTTGATATTAAGACCTATTTCTTCTAATGTCCCTATACAATGAATAAGAACCTTAGCTCCCTTAATGGTGGATTACAATCTAAGATGCTGCATTACATGGCTAATTGGATTTTTTTACTGGATTCAGACAACTTCTTCTCTGCATTAACTACTGTTTTGTTGCACAGGTAACTGACAATATACTTCAGTGTGCTTAAAAAGAGTAAAATGGAGTGGAAAATGACAGAGGAAGACAGTAATTTTGACTTTTACCGAAATAAAGTGCGTTTTTCTAAACGTAGGTCCCGAGACTCCAGGATGCTACTGTCTTGGTGCAATACAAGTGGCTACAGAGCACATGTCAGGAACAAAAGGAGACAGAGCAAATTAATGTTAAAATATGTTAAAAAAGAACAGCTAAGTGGTTAAAAATTTATTTCAAATAACTCTGAAAATTATTAACATAGGCTGTATGCATTCTAGAGGATATTCATTTACAATATGCAACCTGATTAAAGTGTATTTTACTTTATATCATATAGTTGTGAGACAATGACCAAACTTCAATTTCCACTGGAGTCAGCAGGTATTCAGGAACTCAATGTTTTAAACCAAGCCCAGGTCCTTCAACTTAAATAAACTACTGCATAGAATGATGCATTAGAAAATGTGGCAAGTTAACAATCTTTAAGAGATTTAAAAGAACAGGCACATAACTATGCACATTCATTGATTTATGTGATTGCAATAACCTAGATTGACCGTAAGTACAAATTTAAATTCATAAATGTTTCACATCCACAGCTTCTTTTAATTGGAGATAACTTCTGCTGGAATAAGAGCTATCACACACCACTTTTCCCAACACAGACTGCTGTCTTGGAAAATTTCTTCAATATTAAAAAACATACCTTACTTCTAGCATGAATTCCTCTCATTCAGCTTTGAACTATTGAATTTCCTTATGCTTCTTTACTTTAATAAAGTTTCATCTACTATGACACATTTGTTTTCTTTGTGGATACCTTCAATTAAGTACAAGCTAACCATTCCCCTGGACAAGCCACATGGGCTAGATACCTAAATTAACTTCTTATTATAAGGAAATCTTTGTCATCAGCTGCCTTCTGCTTTCTGCAGTGTAGATACCACAACCAATCACAATGACCCACCAGTCCTAGTTTTACTAAAGTTCTTCTTCAATTAACTAGGATTGCCAATGTAACAGGTAGAACCATGAGACATGTATTACAATTGAGAGAACAAACTCAGGAATATGTGATACCTTATCACCTCCAACTAAAAAGAGGTCCACTGCAGCTATGTTAATGCCATGTTTCTCGCAGACCCCAGAGAGCATCTCTTTGATAGAGAATCCGGATTTAACAGCCATTTTGCTAGATGAACCATCCGGAAGGTTTACACAGCAGTATTTGGGAGATTTCTCTTTATCTGGTACAAATGCAGGTACTCTTGAGGGTTCAGACTTGACAGGAAAAAGGAAAAAAATGTCAGTGCCCAATGGGAAATTTAGGTATATGCATAAACCTTAAGAGTCTGTACAAAGCAACCAAGCCAAGAAGCATACTTTCTACTGTGTATATAGTTTAGAAATCCTTCTAAATATCTTAATTATCAGATAAATTTAAATTCTGGAGGAAAAAGTATTTAGGTAAAGGTAACAGCACTACACAAGTCTAAATTTATTTTAAGAAGAGATGAAGTTCTAGACAAAGAGTGTGTAAAACAGGTTACAAGACTCTCAAACTATAGTACAGAACTCTTAATCCAAAAGTGCAAGTAAATAAGATCTTATTTAGATTCCAATCTAATCTGAAGCGTCTATAGTTAATAATGACCTTCTGGCGTAAAAATTACTATTGGCACATTGTGAATCAACATTTAAGGAGATGAGGAACACCTTTAAACATCAGGCTCCCCAAACAAATTTCCTCTTCTTTTAACACAACCCGAGCGCTACACATACAAATACACTACAGAGAAATTAAAATATTAAACAATTTACTTAATGACCGTGCACCTTTGTTATTAAAGGGAACGAGTATGGGGTTATGGGTAAAGGCTAAAGATCACAGCATTAACCTTTACTCTAGAGTAACAGTAGAATAATAATACTACTACAAAATATCAAAAGTATCTTTGAAGTGAATTTCTGTTCCATTTTTATAACTTAAAAGGACACTACAGGTTAGATATAAGGAAGAAAATCTTTACTATAAGGGTGGTGAGGAACTGGAACAGGTTGCCCAGAGAAGCTGTGGCTGCCCCATCCCGGTCCGTCTTCAAGGCCTGGCTGAACGGGCCTTGGAGCAACCTGGTCTAGTGAGAGGTATCCCTGCCCATGGCAGGGGGATTGGAACTGGCTGATCTTTAAGGTCACTTCTAACACAAACCATTCTATGATTCTATGATTGTTGCTTTAGGAAGGTTTTCCATTTTCTGGTTTTTAGGATAAGACTTTTCTGCAAACGAAATAAACATCACTTTGCCATGCTTGCTTCCCTCATCAATATTTGTAACATAGGCAGAATTACATAGTTGATGAAATCTAGTTTACTAGAGGGATATCAAGACTAAGAAAATACTTTTAAAAATTTCAATTTTATAGCCTTTCTCTATATCAACACAGAGAAATTCAAAATATTGCACTTATGTTCTACTTTTAATATTGTTTTAATTTTGCATTTCATTAATTTTACACTGTAAAGTTAGAACTTGATAGTTAGAAATCATGTTATACTGGTTAGAAATGGTTAGTGTCTTCATCCGTTATTTTCCTACCTACTATGACAAAATCAGTGTTTGCAATGAAATCCCCTACTTCTCTTTTCTCATATTTTAGGAGTAGAGTTAAGTCATAACAATAAGAATTAAAATTCATAACTTTAAAAGAAACAGAAAGCAAAGAAGCACAACATATGCAAGTACCACAGAAATGAGCCTAATACGACTCGTTTACAGGCAAAGTAGAGGGAAAGCTTATCCAACCCTAACTATTCTATGATTCTATGATGTCCTTCAGAATAGAATCTCAAAGCTCTAGTAGGTGGACGAAACTCTTTATAAAGAGCTACAGTAGCTCGCTTTGAAAAGTAAAGTTTTATTCTGGAATTCTACTGGTGCCCAAAGTTAAGACAAACAAGATGAAATGGATACCTTTTCTATAAGCACACAGTAAGAAGCAGTATATAAACACAACCTCTGTTACATTTCTAGTATTCTAAAATTGCTTAATGTTAAACCATTCCCTCCCCCTGTATCACTTAAAAATCCTTTCTCAAAGTATTACTTCAAAGAAATTACTTCACACTACTTAAAGAATAAGTAATTCGCTGTTTTCACCACTTCCCCCCTTTTTATTAAGAGCCAGCCATTACCAAGTCAAGACTAGCAGTTGATGACATGGAGCCTTGTGATTCCCGTCTGTATGATAATCCATTGGACTGAAGGGAATCTGTGGAAAGAATCAGCAATCAGTAAAAAGGCTTGGTTTTATTATTTATTGTAATACAGAAAGCTATTTCAAATATGCTCCTCTGCTCAGAAAAAAAAGCTTTGTATCAAAGGAAATATTACCCAATCTTCATACTGTGCAATAAAACAAATGCCTCTGATGTCTTTTCACATGTGAGTATAATGAGAAAACTTAAACTATCCATACTATCAATGTCATCTTGTGGGTCTGGCCTGCACTAGAAAATAGAGAAGAAACACAGTAACAATATGGTCCAAATCTAGTGCTTCAGTGGAATTTCTCTATTATTTTTAACTCAATGGAAAGAGTTTATGCAAAACTTTCAGTTCTTCCTTTAGAGGCCATGTACAGGTGCTTTCATAGAGGAACTCTTCCTTAAACTCTCACAAACAGATAAGTAACAATACAGCAGATTACAAGGGTTTTCCCAACTCTGACTCTTTGATCATTTTAATCAGGAAAGGTGGAAAACAGGTAGTGAATGTGTTCAAAGTGAACATACCAGTGTGGTACTAATAAAAGAAAGAAACAGAGGGTAATGAAGGTGGAGGAATTTTCAAATAGCTGTAACTATGGCACTATTTACATATAGAACTCCTCAACACCTCTGTAAAGAGCTGAAATTATCTTACTATGAAAACAGTAGCTCTCTGTTTGAAAAAGCATTTTCCAGCACAAAGAAAAGCAGAGTCTACTGAAAAGCAATGGAAAAAAAAACAACTCTTGAAAGTCAATAAAAATGAATTTAAATATTTTCATACTTTTATCTATTTATTTGTACAACTGCTTCCACAAAACTTCCAGTGATACTAGCCACACTATGGCCTTCTGACTTGACAGTTTCTTTTTCCTGTGTCACACCCAAGGATGCACTTAGACTGAAACTAACCATGATGAGATTAGTCACATCTACTGCTGAAACACCTTTGAAACAAAGTGGAACATGATTACTCACCATTTGGATAATCACCATTTTCTCTTCTCTTCTGTGATTTCCCCAAACTCTTACTTCTTGACCATGAGAAAAATGTTCCCCTTTTTTTCTTCTCAGTGTCCTCCTCTCCTGACTCTTCATTTAAAGATCTTCCTGACTTCGATTTACCACTTAACTACCACCAAAACAAAATTAAATCATTGGTTGGATCACAGTTGTAAGTATATTATCTAAAATAAACCTTCCCACGCTTCTTCCCAAAAGAAGAGTGTGATGGTCAGGTTAGCTGTCGTCTTTACCCCACTCACAAGCGTATGTGCCAGCAACCCCCTCAGCAGCAAAAAAACAAAGCTCAAAAAAACCCTCAGTGGAAATAAAAGGAAATACATAGATGGAAATGTGCTACTTGGTAGGGAGCAGAAAACAGTAGCTGGAAACAAGCCATATGAAAGAACTCTCCACAGCTCACCAGAATGCCTAAGTTAATGTGGAAAGACCATTTGCCTTGCTTTTAAAACAAAGAATTTCATTTCAGTATTTCACATAGTTTTCTTAGGCTGGGCTTGAACATGAACTGCATTTAAAGGCAATGAAAAAGTTTGGTTTAATATTTACATGTATAGTCACAGTATTTATTAGTGCTGAAGACTACAAATGTCAGGAATGTTTGATATTAGAGTAAACTTGCTTTTAACAAGCTATTCCTGTTAGATTATACAAGTATTCCTTAAAATACTACTTTTAAAAAGGTTCCTAGTCATAAAAATGTGTGATAGCAGATGGGCTAATGTGTAGTGATTGACATGAAAAATGCAAAGTTATAATTTACCCATGCAGTTATGTAATACTATGGTGGTATTATCTACATGAAGAAAAAATAAACTCTAAATAACTTCAGGAGATCAGTAATACTACTTGTCTAATTTTAAGCAACTGTATCTGGTTTACACAGAATTATCTTAGTGCAGTGAAGGCTAAGAAATTAAAAAACTATCCTTTCCAAAGGTGAGTTAGATTAGGTTAAGCCTTTCCCCAATACCTTCTGATAAAATATCTGCTCTCAGCAAAGGTTAAAATATTACATCTTAAGCTCACTTTCAATCAAAATTATCTTCTAAACTAATGTATTAAAATAATCCTCATTTTTTATTTTATTTAAATAATAACAAAGATCTAAAATTATATTCAGGAAGTCCATAGCTAGAAATGCAATTCAAAAGTGTGGATTAAAAGACCTCAATATTTTCCTAAGTACATAAAGGTTTTGTAATTCTATTTGCCAGCACCGCTAAACTAACATTCTTAATGGTTTTTATACTTTATCTTTGATCTTCCAAAGAACTTTAAAAACATTACTTAACAGTTTTCAGATAAGAACAACAAAAAAGTAACCTTTTTTGGCGTTGTGACACTGGACTTCTCTGAACTGATGCTGTGTTTAGAGGTGGGGCTGCTGGGAACATGCTGCGGATCTGGAAGAGGGCGACCTTCGACTTCAGCTAAGATGCATTCTTGGTAAAGTGGGGATTTGAGAAAGCGAGTATAGCTATCAAACTTCATCAGGTTAAATATCTGAAATGAAAATGCAGTGGATAATGGTTACATAAGCTAACCTAACATCAAGAAAATGAAGCTATTTCGCAACAGCAAACTCCCACAAAATTAGGACATAACAATTCTGCTGTAAACAGCAGTAGGCGTGACTTTGTTTAGACCTGGTTAAATACACCGCACCAGTTTAAAGTGAAACATAATTTGATCTATTCCCTTAGCACAGGTTCAGAAAAATGTTATGTTTTGTGCAAAGTGCATGAGAAGCTGAGAGCTGTATTAATGTAAAGTTCATGTGCCCAATCATAAGGAAAACAAGATCAACATCTTTGGAAGATTCAATAATCAAGATGCTGTAAAATCAAGACCCTGCAAAAGAACATTTTACATAACATAGCTGCTCTGGGCAAAACCAACATTTGTCTTTAACTACATAGGAAGGAAGCAGCACTACACCAGTCCTGGAGCAAATGTCTGAGGCTAATTCAACCAAAGCTAACTTCATGAAAGTAAAGGAAGAAAAGTTCTCTCTTAAATGCTAAAGAGTGTTTAAATTTCTTGTTCCAGTTTTGCAAACCTGTTATTTTAAGTGAATCCATAGTTCTACCTTTATATGCTCTCCAATGATTCACTTGATCTGAAAAAACAGTATGAATGCTACCTTCTTTAGACATGACAAATTCCCTAAAATCAAATAAAGGTATAGGCAACACAACGGTTTATGGCATTCCCAAGAGTCTACAGGGAAGTCACAGTAGCCCAGTTGCTGATGGAAATCATTATTCAGATTGTGCAAAGACACTGTTCTCAACAAGCACAGCCCAAAACTTTTCTGGCAAATAGCAAGATGGAACAGAGATAATTTGATCCTGCAGCATCACAGAAACCTAATTCAAACTGAATGCTGACTTCCACAGTCTTGCCTTCCCCCTATATATTCCCATTTCCTGTCATGTTTGTTGGGCTTTTTAATGCACTGTTTTCTGCATGGTAAGCTATGGAAAAAAATACTTCTGTAGAGTTAGTTTTACCAGCATAACCTGCTGGAACAGGTCAGCACAAAGTCTGATGTGTCCTCAGTGAAGTGTCAAATTGATAATCCAGTGTCAAAGATGTCTCACTTAAAAAACTGCTCACAAAGGGGAATTGCTCTCTCATGCTATGAAAACTAAAATCTTTCTCTGACTACAGGTACATAGGCAGAGCTGAAAAAGGCAATGACAGAACACAAGCAGTCTTTGGGCCACAGCTCAACAAATTATTCAGTACACAACACATATAGATTTGAAAAATTTCTTGTGTTCTGCTGAGTTGAAAGACTAATACTGTGGTGCATTGCCAAAACAACATTAAATACAGAGGGGCAACTACAAGGCATCCAAATGCTTCAATCTCAAGGACCCACAGATGTGCTGCAGATGCAAGGTTATTGGGGAAAAATGGTACGAAAAATGCAAACACTAAAACAGATGCAAAACGCAGGGTAAATGAAGAATACAAAAGACTTCACCTTTTTTGAGGTTTTAAGAAAATTAAACTTACAGAGGTTAACACTCCTTGACAAATAATTGTATTTTAAGCTAAATGAAATTTGTGACACCAAAATATGACATGATTCCACAGTACAGCTGTGGAACAAATATCTTAAATTAAATACAATTTCAGGATGAAAACCAAGTCTTTTCAGAGTTGCTTCCTGTCACAGAATCTACCACCAGAAGATGATAAAATTATTATTCCATGTTAGGTCAGAAGAATAAAGGAAAACAATTGCAGAGAACCAAGAGAGAGTTACTGCAGAGATGAAGTCTGCAGAGTAAGCATACGTAATACAGTAAAAACATTCCAACCTTTGAACTTTCCTGGATGGATTGATGACAGGTTAACTATATCACCTTGAGCTGATCATAATCCGCCCTACTATGTTGCTAGCCCACACTACATCCCCAATTTCCTTTATTTAGCACTACTATTAGGATTATTTGGAAAAAAAAAAAAAATCTAGCAGATGCTATTTCTTGTTCTTAGAAATGAGAAAAAGAAATATATCTTAAAAAATCATTATTTGAACTTTATACATAAGCAAGGGTAGAAAAGCATACATATACACCTATGCAACTCTACATGAAGTAAATGATTTTTATTCTTATTTTTATTTTAGTATCTTCCAGTGACCTACACTGTCTTGCATCCAGCAACACTCAAAATGCTTGTTCTTGTCCTCAGAAACTGTGAAATCCTAACCAGGTGTTTTGGCTGCATCCACACGGTCATATTACAACACTGCTGATAGGATCAAGAGCAAATTTGTCGGGCTATGGACAGAAAGCAGCTTCTAGCAACATTTCCAACAGGCAGAGCTTGAAAGATAACAGCCTCAGCAACGCTTTCCAAAGCACTTTCCCACACACACTTCTGTAAATCCACAACAGCCTTACAGCAACACTCCCTATTCTCAAGCATCATGAACACCCGACAACCAGCACAGACCACTCTATGCTCACTACTGAAATCTAAAAGCTCTTGTCAAAGATCACAAATGCAGAGCTTTTGCATTATGAAGATGGTGTCACCACCATGACTTCTTTCCCTTAGTGAAACCAAGATACTAAGGGCCATCAAGATTGCTGATGACTCAGCACTGACCTCAGCCAGGCCACACACCACTAGTAAATCAGCTGGCACACATAGCTCCAAGTCCACTTTGACAGAAATAACTCTCATTCTACTTCACCTAATTTTACGCTGTGAGGAACAGGTTTGACTGAGGGCTCTGATGGGAGAACTAGAGAGGCATTGACAATTTGAGATAAGCAGGTCAGGTCCACACAAGCCACGTGGCTGGGATTAGACCCACAGCAGCACTCCACATCAGCATTTTCACCCACCGCATGAGCCCTCCAACCTAAGGACAAGGTGTTTTCAAAGAAGGAAGAAAATGTGCCTCAGCCCAGCCACCATGCTCATAAGAACACTTTCTTCTCCACCAAACAATTCAGGTACGGGCTCCATAAAACCAAGATGAAGAGTGCACAAAAAAAAGTCTGTAAAGATTGCGGCTGGTAATTCACACAGAAGCCTCAGGCTTTGGTAGGGGAACTGGGGGTAGCTGTAGTGCTAGAAGCTACTAAACCAGCAATTAGACCTACCTTTCTATCTCCACTTCACACATGTAGAGAGGTACTATACCCACCTGCTCAGATTGCCTCAAAAGCATGTGATCTGATGCTGCACAAAGACTAAGATTGTGACCTGCTTCATTTATGCAGATTTATCTGCATAACTGAATTATAATTTATAGATTTATATAATCTATAATTATAAAATTATAGATTTATGTAGTTAAATCTATATTCTAGATGTCTAAATAACATGATCTCAAAATTATTTCTGCTAATAAAATGTTAGGGTGGGAGAGTTACCAAAGAGATTACTTAGGAGAATAAAGCAGAAACTTAAATTCTACAGAATATGTACAATTTATCCTGTTGTTACATAACTGTTCTCTTCTGAACATTAATATACATCCACTTCAGAGGTCTTTAGACACCAGCAGTTTTAACAAGCTCTTTGTCTAACAGTTCTATTAAAGCTTATGGGAAGGACTCCCTTAACACAACAGACATATTTTACAAACCACTTTGACCAAAATTAGACACTATTTGTGTAAACAACTGTCCACTACAGAAAAGAATAAGTAACCATATGCAAACACCATATGCAATGGTGTTGCAACACATGGAATTATTTACTTGCACTAAACCTTCATTTCAATAACAGCATTTTTCTGTTATTTTTCTGTTAACAGCAATTTTCTACACATATACAAAAACAAGTCAAGCAGCTTTCCATTATATAGCCTTTTTCTATTCTCCTAACAGGACCTATATCGTCTTCACTACAATGCCTTTTTATACACAGTAAAAAACACAGCATCTGAAACTACTTTTATTGATTTTAAAGTACTTCAAAAGAAAAGATAATTGACATAACTGTACAGCAGTCACATTATGTATGGTTACCTGAAGTTGCTGTTCCTTGAACATATCAGGATGTGGAGAATTGAGAATATCATCTGCCAACTGTGCCTGGCTATCGATATTAACGGGGGTTGTAGCTTTGCTACACAAGAACTTACTGAAGATCTCCCGAGCTCTGTAAGAAAGCTACAGAAAAGAAATGTTAAATGTATGTTTGCTTTAAAACCATATTTTTAGACAGCCATTTCTTACACTGATATATTCCACCCCAAATATACACAGCCATTCCAGTTTCCTTCATACACAAGCATTTTTTTCTTAACAGCTTTTGTTAGTTTAGGCATACAAATAGGGTTTTCCCTTTAAAATTACAAATATTCATTAAATATTTCTTAAGCAGTAAAAATTGCCATCTAAATAAAAATTCGAATTTTCAAACTATGAAAATAATAAAAGTGAAGCACATCAAATGCTGTCTGAGCAGGGAGAACAGATTTTTTTAGATTTTAGACCTTTTACATAACAGTTATTATTTAAATAAATCCTCTCAGCTTCAAATTCTTGAAGTTAGAAAGAGGTAAGTATACAGAAGAATGTTTATGGCAAAAAACATTCATGTTCTATCTTTACCTTGTTTACTTTGAAACACCCACATTCTGGATATAGTGAGAAAAAAACCCCACCAAACCTAGCTCAGAGTGCTTAAGGGTGGTGTTCAGAAAATACAGTTCGAAGACAGAAGAAAGTAGGGGAAAAGCCTCAGTGGGACACAGGAGAGCAAAGAGGGACATGAAAAATTCAAGTGTTTCCACAGTGTAAACCTGACTAGATTTGGGTGTGGTGTAGATAGAATCGTTGCCAACCTGCACACGATATAAACTGCACTAAAACTGCCTGACCAATGTAGGACTATCTTAAAAGGATAAGATGAAGATTCTCATAACTTGTGAACAAATATGATTACACTTACGACAGCAGGTATAGCTAAGTTAGTTATAAACACAGTATATTGGCTACTAAAGACAGTCTAGCTGAAAAAGCACAAGAGGCTAATTTTTACCTCTTTGAGACGTTAAATTAACTTGCCTTGCAGTCCCTTGGGCTGGGCAACTGCAGCTAGCCATTTTTCAATACCCAGTAAATCTTAGCTCATTTTTACAGAGCTAACTCCACACTGCACTGCAGTCTAAACATATCAAACATCTTCAGCTTGGGACAGTACTCCCAGGGGACTGAGAAAAGGAAACTGAGGCTCCAACCTTATTTTAGTGAAGGCACAGTACAAAGACCAAGCAGAGCTCCAATAATTTCAATAACCTTGAAGAAGTAACAGTTTTTGAAGAAGCAACACCACGTACTGAGATACAACACTGACTTACCTCTTTTTTATCATGTGCAGGTACATGGTTAAAATATTCACAGGCCTGCCAAAATAAAATATTTTCTTCGCTAAATTCTTTCCGTAGAAATTCCTAGAGGAAAAAAGTGAACAAATAGATGTCTCAGAGGAAAGTTCCTTGCCATTTCAAGTAACTTATTTATAATGCTTGGTAAGTTTGCATAAAAGTGACATTTCAGTCAGTATCACACTCCAGTTTTCTTCAACACAGGGTTTTAAATCTACTAGCAAGCTCTCAATTTATACTGAAAGCTCTTCATGTACCTAACCTGAGACACCAAATGTATTAAAGACAATCCAGAGTAGTCAGGGGACATTTCTTCATTTTGCATAAAATTACAGATTAAAAGAGAATTAAATTTGTGAGCAGGAACTGGAACTCAACTGCCTACCTCCTCACTCAGCGCCTTCACTATGAAACTACAATCTCCTGCTTGCTTTCTTTAAGGCCACATGATTTGAGCACAGCTGGCTGTACAATTCTGCTTCATCAAGAAGACTGAGTGGTGCCCCTGTTGGAACATTATGTAGTAGCCTAGCAGTTGTCACACATGGCTGGGAAGCTGGAGACGTTGTTGTGAACCACTTGAGGAGGGAACTTGCAATCAGGTCTCTCACTTCCCGGATGACTGCTCTAATCACCAAACTATTATGCAAAATGCGAGTATTTGCAAAACATGCAAAATCTCTTCTTCTTAGAGAGTATTTCCTGCTCTTTGACAAAGCTGTCCTCAGGAAAGGCCTATGCTGAATCCCAAATGCACCAAGATGCTTGCTATGCAATTGTGAATTAAATGCTGATGCTTCAATGTTCTTGAATATTGGCAGAAATCTGTAACTGCGCAGTGTTACAATAGTCAGGTTGCAAGCGAATCTAAGCAATGGCTCTGGATTTCCCCCCAGCCTTAAGAAAATGTTGGTGCACACAACAAATTTCAACATTCCCTAACTGTTCTTTAAATTGGGTATTTAGCACATGCAGTTTTGCGATGTTTATAATTTCTAGTTAGAATAAATTAGGGTAAAAAAGTTAAACTTCCTGAATATCTGAGGCTGCCTTCTGCTGAAATGAAATGTAACTTTATTTAATCAAACGACATTAGCTACTTTCTCATTTTTTAATACAAGTTTTGAACTTCCATAGGACTGAAAAATTACTGCAGCTATTTCTAAAGTGCACATAAGTAAGTTTACTGATGGCTTAAAAGTAATTAGAAAAGACAACTAAATTTTCAGTAGTGCTGCCACAAACCACATCATTTATCAGGTGGACTCTAACATCAGATCAGAATTGGAATTTTTCTTTCAGTCTGATGAGAAGTCTCAGTATCTAAGCAAAAATACTAATAATTCTTGGGCTACTCTGCTAAGAAAAATGAAGAGACAGGAAATATAATATCCACGACATATTATTTGCTTTCATCATCTCTGTTTTCTCAAACAGATGTTCACTGTTAATGTGTCCTTTGGGTCCCCACGACAGTAATGATGGAAGTCTGCTTATTAATCATTTTGATATTGTAATACTTTTATATCAAGTAAAGGAGTCCTTCTGCACTACTGCAGGTTCCAATAATCTACATCTACACCACAGGTTTCTTTACATTGTCTGTGAAAACCATTTTGGCAGCACAAGCTGTCCTTGTGCAATACATTTGGGACCTACAATGCAAAAATATACAACAATTTGGTACAACAATGCAAAAATATATACACCTTAATTGCCTTACATATCATAGAATCATAGAATAGTTAGGGTTGGAAAGGACCTTAAGATCAACTAGTTCCAACCCCCCTGCATGGGCAGGGACACCTCCCACTAAACCATGCCACCCAATATAAAACAGATCATGGTATTTACAACTTCATAAACGTGCTGTGAAGAAGCCTAATTTATACTTTGCAAACACTCAGCACTATCCTGCAAGCTGCAGCTTTAACAATGCTTTTAGCTACCATGACTGTTTCCAGAAAATATTTCTAAAAGCATTTTGAAGTAACACAAGCAACTGTATCACTGAAAAAAATCTTCTATCTGGCTTCTGAGATTTCAGTAGGTAAATGTAAATATATTACCAATTCTTGGGAAACTACTGAAACTGCTGCCTTTTCTTTTTTTGTACAAAGGCTATACATACAAATACAACAAAATGTAACTGCCTTACAAAACAGAGAAGCTTTCTAAAAGCTTAGGTACAAAGCAAAATATAGTTTCCATTTTCATATGACTTTCACCATTCAGAAATGTATGGCAACATGTGTATTGCTATGAACTCTTATTTAACTGTGAATGAGTTCAAACGTCGAAATATGCTCAGATAACAATTATGTAAGAATGAACTCCTATCTCTTGTCCTATGTAAGGATAGTGCCCGGAAAGAAGAAAAAATACAGGAAGATTACTGCAGCAGTATCAGGTATTTTGAAAGGCATCTTATGGTCTCTCAAAACTTACTGAGAAATACTTAACACCAATAGGATCCTGAAGAAGACGCTCAAATGAAACAGCCCAGCTTGCAACTCTTCTTTCTTGAAGTCGTCGACAGCTCTGTACACTGGGAAGACTAGCATTGCTACTGAGGCTGTTTTCACTGATGCAGTCTTTTAGATCAGTACTATTCAGCTCTGTTAGAAAGAATGAACAAATCTGTCAATAAAGGATTACTCACTTTTACTCTTCAGCATTGTTTACTGGATTTATTACACCTCCTGCTCAAGCTCACAGTAGTGCAGACTTCAAAATATCCCTCCCCTCTTTTATTAGTCGCATCAGCATAGAAAAAACAAAGCCAAACATCTCTCAATTTTCTTCTGTTCCACTGCAAAGAAAATCAAACAAGTGTCTTCAAAGCAATCCCCTGCCAGAAGCAAAAGGGGCAGGCACGAAAGGAAACCTTTTTTTTCTTGCTTTGCAAAACAAATTTGTGCTTACATTCCTCACCCTGTGGACTGCTCCAAGGAAGGTAGACCTTCCCTTAAACAGGAACTCCGAACTTCTTCATGGAAATGAAAAACTTCTGTTAAATACTGAAAATTTAGGAAAAAAGTCAACTACAGAAAAGGACACAAAGGAAAATGAGGTAGTAATAGCTGCCTTCCTCATCCACAGGAAGTAGAGGTATCAATTTATAATGGTTTCTGATAAGAACAGGAATCTGTGACTCCCTTCCAGACTCAAGCTAACATAGTGCAATGATCTAGGGGTCGGAAGCTGAGAAACAACCAGAGTCTTTAGATCTTGACAAAAACAAAAGTGCTTTTTTTATTCTGAAAACAAATTAACAAGAACCCACAGAGAATTCAGGAAAAGACAACCTTGTGCAGCAGCCTAACAAATAATTTCAAGTGTTAATCCCAGATCATCTTTATCACATACCAGTAGACAGAATATGCACAAAGGTATTCTCAAAGTGACCACCTGCTCATGAAAGTGCAAAAGAAACAGCTGCTCTAAGTAGAAGGATCTGTAGATAACATGCTCCTATTCACAAATTTGCTACTTGTTTGTTGCATGACCTTTTACAAACCACCATTCTCCCATCTCTTGGTAAACACAAGTTTAAAACTTCTATAGTTGTACTCACACACAGAGGTAAATTGAGGTTTAATTAATTGTGAAGACACAATTAAATAAAGCCCTGAGCTATCTACTGTAAAGGTGGTGGGGCACTGGAATGGGTTGCATAGGGAAGCTGTGAACGCTCCATCCCTGGCAGTGCTCAAGGCCAGGTTGGACAGAGCCTTGGGTTCCATGGTTTAGTGTGAGGTGTCCCTGCCCATGGCAGTTGGGGTGGAACTGGATGATCTTAAGGTCCTTTCCAACCCAGACTATTCTATGATTCTATGTTTTGATCTCATAATGGACCCTGCTTTGAGCAGGAGAGGTTGCACTAGAGAGATGCCAAACTGGATGCGATTCTGTGATGATGGGATAAAAAAATGCAGACATTAAATTATTTGAAAAATTAGTAGTAATTGATGTGAGAAAATAATACTCTCAAGTAAATTAGGTGGTATCTTCAATTGTTCTATGCCAAATGGAAAAGCAAATGTATAGCTCGCTATAAATGTAAACTGATTGAGAAAGCTGAATTCACAACCAGTAAAAAATGGCCTATTATTCACAGGGACATTTTTATTGGTATTAATTAATTGGGGTTAATTACCTGGACTAACTAAAGCAAGGAGTAATTTCACTAAAATTATTACTTTATAAGACCTCCTGAGATCTCATTTTCTTTTATATATATAGTTACATACATATATTCAAAGCACTTCGCGTTTCCAACTTCTATGTTACAAAGCATTACTGCATAGAATGTTTTGTATACCTCCCTAGAAGTGTAAACTTTGATGAAAGGACCATTCAAAGATATAAGATTAGGGAAAAAGTTATAAAATAGTTGTAAAGGTAAGATTTAAAAAAAAAAAAAGTTCTGAAATTTCATTTTTAAATTTACACCATAGCTCGGAAATATCTACTAAGAGTAAGAGTCAACTACTGAGAATTTCTATGAGCAAAGCTGTTGTTTAAGACAAAGATACAGAATTAGATTAGGCAAGAATGAAAACGCAACTTTGTATTTTCAATAAGGATAACATTTAAGGACCATAATAACACATAAGATTTATAAATATTTTTCTTTGCCTAATCATCATATAAATTCAAACTAATTAAAAGCACTCAGCAAATAATGCCAAATTTTCTTATAGCAAATACTTTTTCCTTTAACACATATGAAAGACTATAACAAAATCAACTCTTAGCTTCATTAGAGAATACCTGTCACCACAGCGAAACTATTGTGAAAGAAGCTAATGTGAATCTGAAGAGAATGATATCTAAATTTATTATCTGAAGTATTTTGCTTTAACTCTGCAGGGGGATACATTTTATTTTACACTCCAGAATATAAATAGACACCAACTTCTTGATAGATCTGAAACAGTTTCAGATACTGCCTCACTCCTAGAGGGTTCAATCCCCAGTGCTCTCCAATGATGAATGATGAACATTTCCTAGTTCCTCTCGGGCAAAATGAGAGGTAAACTCATCCCACAACCCAAACCATTTAAACCTACTTGGCTGAAAGAGGGAAATTAGGGAGTAGCCACACAAAGTGGTCAATGGTAAATCCACAAGTGACAGCACCCTAGGACTCAGAAGGGATTTCATACAGTTGTATGCCCAGCAGTTATTAACAGGTCAACTTCGCCTTCCTCCCTCTAAGTGGTGGCTGTTCAATTTCCCTGTGGCACACAGGAAGGCCAAGCTGCAATTACAGTCTGAGTGTTGACACCAGTGGGTGACTGCTAACTACCTTTAACGGCTAGCAGCTGCTTGCTCTCTACCTTGTCAGAGTTACACTTCCTCTTAACTACCTTGGGTTCTTACTCCCCTGTTACGCTGCCCACTCTGGAGATCCCATGAAAACAAATGAACCAAAATCAGGCTGCATTTTCAACAACTTTGAGAGCTACCAGCACAGGTCCTCCCAGTGTGTTACAGCAGCATTAAAGGATTACTCATTCACGGTACACTGTGTCTGCTCGAGTGAATTTTATTCAGCTAATTCAGATTTTTTTCAGAAAGAACTGTTCGAGTTCATACTTAACCCTGACACTACTTTGTTTCCCCTTTAAGCAAAAATGTGATCAGTTTGCTTTTAAAATTCATACAGATTTCTGCTGGAGTACCTGTCAACCTGAAAACAATGCAGAAAAAGGTTGTTTCCCAGAAAAGGCTTAGTTATTCTAATTTCTTATCACATAAGATAACTATTGCAATTAAAACCTAGTGCAGATACACCAGTTAGAATCTGAGAAAAAGAAAGGTCAGATAGGAAGAAAAACTCACCAACACTAATATACAATTTATCTAATTTATGCTTAAATGAAGACTGTATAAGCTGTAACTCCTGCTCCACTCCTCTTGCAGAGGAATGTTTCCAGCGTAAGACTTCAGTATCAGGTTTCCTGACTCTCACAACTCCTGTGTTCCTAGGTATACACAGACAACCTTGGAAAGCAGGAAAGGAGAAACTTTCCAACCGAGTCACATATTTTGTCTAATGAGCACTGTGATAACCATTAGAGGAAACTAAGAGCTCTGATTCCCACACGCAAACATTTTAACCACAAGGCTGCTGTGCAAAGTGACCTCCTGCTTCTTGTAAAGCATTTAAAAAGAGAAAATCAGCTATCAGGAACCACAGGATGCCAGAGAAATGTACTATAAAAATCCCAGCTTAGGTTCATGGACAACTTAGCAGTGCTGTGAAGTTTCCTAATGCCTGCCTTCCTTTCTCCTTGCTGTGTATAAACACCAACTGATCTTACAGCACGTGTTAAAGGAGGCTCCTTACTCAAGCATCCCAAATCCCAGGGACCTAAATTTATTTCTGTTCTGTTTGAGAACCACCATACCTAGCAAGGAAGTATTACTTTCTGTGCTAACTTTTTAATTTATTGCCTTCTTCAAATACAGGATTGATGCAGAATGCTTTCTAAAAGTCCTCAAGACCCCATACTTTACACATTTTGTATTTACATATTCAGTGCATAAATTATTACCTTTATTTCACAAAAATAGCAGTAGGTAAGAAAATGTAGGCCTTTAATGAACTAAATTCTTGAAAGTATTCAGGATAAGATGGCTCTGAAGGTTTTTATTTAAATCATATAAAGAAGTAAATCCAAATATTAGATTAAGGATATTAGGATTAAGGATATTTTTGTATGGATTTGTTTATAATATACATATATATTTTTCAACCCTCTAAGACCTTTTATTATTGTGAGAAGCTACACATATCACTTGTAATCATCAGAATGTGTACATTCATATAATTAAGATAATCCAGTTAATCACTCAATACGTTACCTGGATAAAGCTGATAAGAACCACTGTGGTGCCACTTAATCAAATACTTCAAGGCATTCACTGAAAGCCATCCTTCTGAATCCATACCAAGTTCAGCTGTAACATCCCGGAACCCATTGGGTGCAGATTATCCTTATTGTATGGCACATCGCTCCTCTGCAACTTTGGGATAAGGGAAGCTAATGCATCCCCCCTCAGCAATTCCTGGTAGCCTCTAACACCGTTCTAAACAAATTGATTCTTTACCCTCATGGCTTCAAGCAGAAGAAAGCAATAGTATACTTAACACAAAGCATTATAAAATGCTACATAAATAATTTAAAGAAAAGACCTTTTGCCACTGCTGCTAAAGGAACTTGAATTATTTATGTTACGGTGGAACACAGCTACAGAAGCATGCGCTGACAACGTAATTGACAAATAAGTCATATACCTGTTGGAGGAGACAATCCTTCTGTATTTGTAGTGTAAAAAAGTATAAATAGTGTTTTGTTTTATTTTGAGCTTCATTGTGGATATTTTGCTCTACCTTCTTGAGTTACTTGTCAGAATAGAGTTTTACATTATTTATTATTGTAAACATCAGATTCCTACCAAAAAAAAAAAATCTTTAAGAATGCTTTTTCTTCTGAAAATTCCTTCCAGGTGATGAATATTAAAAACCAAAAGCAGCAGAAACTACAGCAAAGTAGTATCTTCAGAAAAAGACAGGTTTTGTAACGTGTCTGTTATGCTTAAGCATTTGGAAATAATAGATCAGTTTTGTGGAACTGATCTCTGTAGGGAATAGCAGGTAAGAGCTGACTTAGGAATTCTCAGTAGCTCAAATACCTCACCACATGTCTATCTGGGAAATGAATGATCATGTAGTTCTATCATATGTCCTTTGACCTTCAGGTTTTCCCTTAAGATCAATGTAAAAGTGCCATCTAGGTATCAATAGCCAAAGTCAGACATTAACTGGGGACTACTGACCATCCCTGTGATGGTTTAGATGGCACAGTGCTCAAAACATCAGCCACACAGCCATAGCCTGTATGCTGTGTACACACTCACTATTACTACAGGCAGCAGGAACGGACAGCTTCCAAAATGGGAAGTAGGAGAAATCAACTAATTAGAGGTTGTTGTAGTAACATAAAATGGTTTCTGTGATTCTAGAGCACAGGTGCTGCAGATTAGTTGATGCATAGCAGTTATCCTGCCCCTAAACAGTATCACAGCTTGCATTCTGACTTTCCGCAATTTATTAAGCAAATCAATTACAGTTAAGAGTTGCTACTGGTCAGCATCTCTGGAAACAACACTAATTCAAGAACCTGTATCGTTTACATGTTACCTATCTTGCAAAGCCCAAGCACACAGTTTTGTCATCGCAGGCTTGTGCAAGCTTAATTACCATGTAAAGTAAATGCATCAAGAGGTAGATGGTTCCCAGTGCCTGGCTGTAATGAAATCAAAGCCATATGACATGAAGCTTTATTGACCTTCAAAATAAAATGTACAGGGAGCTGTTGTGCCTCCTATTATACTGAAGGGATGCATATAAACACACAATAATTACTTTTTACACTTAAATTTCCCTTCCCAGACTAAAGCTTAACAACAGTATCAGCCTTCCAGTATCTGAAGGGGGCCTACAAGTATGCTGGAGAGACTCATCAGGGACTGTAGTGATAGGACAATGGGTGATGGGTTTAAACAGGGGAAGTTTAAGTTAGAGGTAAGGAAGAAATTCTTTACTGTGACAGTGGTGAGGCACTGGAACAGGTAGCTCAGGAAGTTGTGGCTGCCCCATCCCTGGCAGTGCTCAAGGCCAGGTTGGACAGGACCTTGAGCAACCTTGTCAGTTGGAAGGTGTCCCTGTCAATGGCAGGAGGTTAGAACAAGAGGACCTTAAGGTCCTTTCTAACCCAAACCATTCTATGATTTTATATGTACAAATACTAACATTAGAATTTAGTCTAGGAAGGGAATTATGGGCTACTATACTAATAGTTGCACTAGTGAAAATTTCTCTAATCTAGACATGCCCTAACAAGTGTAAATCTGTGGATCTACTAATGAATTAGTGAGATTAGAGAAGATTGAAAAAAATTCAGTGCTGTGACATATTCAATAAATGTGAAAGCCTGAAAATGTAATTCAGAAATTAATCAGAGCTTTTCACTCAATGCAGCTTTAAATGAAACTAGTAAGGATTTTATTTCATTTCACTTTTCCAGGTTGCAGTCTCTCCGGTTCTTATTTTGTGAATCCACTTTCTAAGTACTTAAGCATTGATTTAATATTACTCAGTATAGTTCAACTACCAGTTTTTATACAAATTACATCCCTCCTCTTTTATAGCATTCAACAATGAAGAGAGAGTCCACGTAAAATCTTCAACACTAGCTGAACAAAATAGGTCATACAACTCAGCAGAAAAATGCATATAACTTACTGCCTGTTCTTTCACATCTGCAACCTACATGGCCTTCAGATCCATTACTTCAGAAAACTGTATAAAATTTATTGTGAAAACATGGAAATTGAATTGGAATGACATACAAAACTCATATCGGAAGAACTGAAAATAAGTCAGTAAAAACTACAGGTTTTGTAGTTTAAGTTTTGCAAGGAATCAGAAATTAGGGCATAATGGAGTTTTGTGAATAGTATTTCTAATTTTGCGTTTACATAGAAAAAAAATTATCTTTACCTTTCAAAATATTTCATCAATTTCATTGCACTGGGGCAACACAGATTGTCCCCTTTTTATACCACAAAACTGTTTTGTACTGTTGTGAAAGAACAGCAAACATAAAAATATGCATGTGAGTTTCTTTGCAGGATCTAGTAAACCAACTCCTGCCAAGCAAGAAAAGTGAGAAAAGCCATCTCCTGTATACCCTAAACAGATTCCTTTATTACATTAAGGAAGCATACTTAACTGTTTCAATTAACTTTAAAGGTTCAGAGAAATCATCTTCTAATGTTTAACAAAGAGTGGATGTCCTTTAAAACATTAAAGCCATGTGAAAATCAAAACAAACAAGGTTATGTGACATAAAGAGGAGTTTATTTAGGAAGTACTCCAGAACTGCAAAACCTCCATACTGGGATTTTCCAAGTATCAAATTACTTACCCCCTTCTCAAAATGCATCACTCCGTAAAGAAATTTCAACCTCATCACGTGCACCAATACAGCTTATAACTTAGGAGCTAGAGCATTATCTCTTCAAAAGGAAACAGTATATGTAAAGGACAATAAAATAGAGTCCAAGATTTTATCTACCATCCTATTATACAGAAGTCTACCAGCTCTGCCTCTTTATTAGTATGAATGAAGAAGCCTAGTTACAATAAAAACATGCATATAGAGATGTGTCACCAAAAAATTATGCAAATAAATCAGTGAAAGGATGTGAACACAATCCTGCAGTATTTTCATTAGCACAATTCCCAAAGAAGGCACAGAGTTCTGCACCACTTTGGACAACCATCCTGTAATATGTCACCTTATTTACCGTATATTGTATTGTTCAATGTGGAAAATTGATTTTTTTTTCATTATAAAAGTAAAAATAAGCTTCAGCTTACCTCCATCAGAAACAGTTGCTGACTGCAATAAGAAAGAGAAAAATAAGTGTTACTTAAGTTTCATGGTATTAGAAATCTCCGAGCTTCACATAGTATTTGAAATGTTAGCTACTTTTATCATCTTACTAACAACAGATAACACAAGAGAGGAAAATCTAAAGAAACCAACTGTTACTTTCTCATAGATGTTTCCTCCCAACCATGAAATTCATCCCAGGCCTTTTAACCACTGTCCTGGAATTTGATCTCACTAGTATTTATTGCACAAAGTACTTCCTGCTGTGAATAGACACACTGCTTTCAGCAGTCCTTCTTAGATGAATAGTGTCAATCAGTTGGTGTATGTGAGAAAGCAGGTATCTTAAAACTGAACTGCAAAGACTTAAAATGAAAACACCTCATTAACTTTATTTTGCTGCAGATGGGAATCAAAATTAAAATTCAATACTTTGTCAGTCAGGTGACTCTGAAAACTTGCCCTGCTGATCATTTCTGACTTCCACAGAGCCAAGACGTTAAGAGTGTTTCCAATAAGCCAGGCAAGAACTCCTCACCTCCTCTACTAGTACATCAAGTTTTCAAGAACAAATAGTCTTCTAGTGACATGGCAAAGTTTATGTGCTTATCTGCCCTAAACTTCTCATCTTTGATCTCAAATCACCTCAAGGCAGCTAATATTTCTACGCCACCATATAGGTGACCACTTCCCAAACATGCAACCCCAGCTGAGTGAAAGACTGGAAGGACAGCTCATTTTTTAATTGATTTCTAATGGCTATTAAAAATTACTATTTTCTATTTCACTGCAAGATCTTGCACTGTTGTTAACACTATCTGAAGAACATCACACGTTATGAACTGCTGTGTCCTCACACCGTTCACAGCAGCAGATCTACTATTTAATGCAAGTCTAAATTAGTTCCTATTGACATCATTCGTCTTGGGCTACTTCAAATGAACACAAATACATCTTTCATGGGTAAGATTAAAAAAATGAGGGCTCTTCTTTAACTGCACTAAAATGAATGCTTCTGAATCTGTGAAGCATATTAATATATTCAAAAGTGTAGCCAGGCCTCTCACTATTTTTAATAGCACTGTTTCAGGTATCAAAAAAGTGTTTCTGCTTTGGGTACAGTTCTTCAGTGAGGCTTTGGACATCTTTCCTACTACTTTGCATGTAAGTCTAGTAGCATACTATGCATTCAGAAGCTGTAACTTAATTCATGTTTGTAATTTAGAAAATCTAATTTACATTACTGAAATCTGTATTATAAATATGATTGTTTCTAATTTCTTATTCACATACTGTACAGAGCAGCTGATGAATAAACAATCTCAATGTCATTACTCAAACAATGAAAAGAAGGATGACTCAAAGTCAAGTAATGGTATCAGTTTGCACATTAGATAGAAAAAAAGTAAAAATACTTTCAAACTATGTACATTTTAGGAATGGTCATTTACTTTTGCGGTTGGCATGAATCTGTTCAAATATCAACTTCTTGTTGAAAGTTATGAAGTAAAAAGGATTGTCATGATGTAAAAAGTTACACTACTTTTTTCAAAAACTGGGAAGTTAACAATTATAAAATATCATTTTTAAAGGAAAAACAATGTGATTTCATAGAAAAGTTCAAACACTACACTAATAGTACCGCTTAATTAAGTTCTATGGACAATGAGATACAGTTTTACCTCAATCCATTCGGCATAACTTAATACAGTGAGCTCTCTACACACCATGGGTTGGGTTTGTGTGTTTGTGTTAAATGCTGTAGCTAATATGCATCACATTACATGTATCAACATCTTAAAATCTCTCCTTGCAAGGTCTAAGTAATTATCACTTTTAAACCTTTTTTAAAAGTTGTACCCATACGAAGAAAAGAACTTAGTATCAAAATATCAACCACCTACTTCTGTTCTATTTAGATATTTCAAATACTACACTTCTGTAGATTACAGAATAATTTAAGAACATTTCTTTAAATTCATCTATGTAACTGATTTAAATCTACTTAATTCAACAAAACAGCGAGAAACTAAAGCTTGCAATTACTCTGTAAGAATTCACAGTACTATGTTCACAACATGTTTGTGAGTACTTAGAAAGCTTAGAACTATAAACCTGTCAGAAACTGCATGCAATCCATAATTAGACAAAGCAGTTTCTGTTCTAAACTCTTCAGCTGAAACTTGTCTAGATTTGTCCAAAGGTATAAGTTGCAAGACCAGATTTTTTTAAATACTATGATGATCTCATTTTAAAAATTCACCGTGTGTTGGGGGCTGTTTTTGTTCTTCAGTGCTCACGCTTAACCACCACTGGAGGCTCTTCAGGACAAAATCTGAGCTACTATGCCTATAATGTCTGATTATTTGATGAAATTTAACACCACATACATACTAATAACTATCTATTAAAAACTATATGTATTAAAAAGCTATAAAATCAAACAGATCCTGTGTGTAGCCATTTCTGAAAGACAAGAAAGGGCAGGGTATGACCCCATGCAAGTTAGGGCTAATGTGAATGCTAAAGGAAAAGTATTTTAGTATTTCATTCCAAATGAAAGGACATGTATCTATTCATTTTATGAATGTACATGTGAACTATAACCAAGAGATAAAATCTAATTGCATTCCATGATCAAATCTTTCATAACCAGGTAAGTACTGAAATTAATTCTTCAAATTACCCTGACTTCCATATTGGCTTAGGAAAGGGCCCATGGTAGATGTCTGATGGTAACAAATTACCAAAATTTAAAAAATAAACCTAGTTTAGGAAGACTAAAATGTCTTCAAGTGTATCTCTTCATGGGGACTTTGCTTGCTCATCTAGCTGGATTAGCAGCTGAGGCATACAGGCACACACACAGCCTGCAAGACTGGAGGATGCAACTCTCTCCCTCCAGACTTCAGGGCAAGATCATAATCCCTGTGATCCCAGTGAGGAGCTCAGTGTCAGGGCCAGCAAGATGAACAGCGGCTTCCCAGTTATCAAACACCCTAAAAGATGTCTCAGGTCTCTGTAAACTGGCAAATGCACCGGCATATATTAGATAGCATAAAGTTCTGTTTAAGAGAAAACATGATAATTTCTCTTTGTATCATCTCTTTGCTAGGCAGAAAAACCAGAAGGGCCCATGAGTTTTTTGATGTTGTGTTCAGAATCTGCTTGCAACAAATCTGAAAAAGTATTAGCTTACAATAATTAGCAACAAGAAAACTACTTTGTGAGTACATTAATTCATCTTCCAGAATAGAAATAGACAACATAGTATCTTGCACCAACAACATGGTACAAAAGGAGATAGAACACAAAGGAGAATAATTCATAAGGTTGAACCACCCTGTATCTTCTAGCTTTCATGGTCTATAACCTGCTACATGTGTACACCACTGCACGAAACCAGTCTGATGACATATTTCAGTTGACAGAAACTCTTATCCAGAAAATCCACTTAGTTCCCTTTTATAGAGACCAGGTCCCAAGAAAGTAACTAAGTACTGTCAGTCTGCCATAACAACATCACACCGAAAAACCAAAGAATACCCTACCTATATCCCAGATATTACACAGAGCAAATAAATCCATGTGTACAGAATGCCCAGATAACACAAAACAAAAATATCCTTTTTCTCCACCTCAAGATTTGTCATTCAAGTCAAAGTCATGCTCAAGTACTTGAGTAGAACAAAAGGAAATATGCGGACACTGGGAGGGGTGACACATACTAGGAAATGCCAGGCCTTAGCAATAAATGAAGCAACATGAAATCATCTGTGCTAATCGAATGTGGGCGAGTGCCTTCCTGAGGCAAAAAAAGACTTATCTATTTCCAACTCCTTCTGAGATGTGGAGGGATAAAATCTATTAGGAGAGTGAAGACGTATTCCTTTCTCCTAGCCTAAGAGTGACAAAATCACAAAATAAACAGAAACACCTATTTATTTCCTGGGCATCCAAGAAGATACAGAGAAAAAGGGATTCAAAATGACCTTTCTCTGTGCCCTTTTAAAAGTACAGTTCCTTCTAACACAGGCATCGACCTTTTGCTGCATGCAAAGGATTCTCCAACTGCTGCCTTCAGAATCTGTTAGACTCGCCTAGCACAATATTATACTACACACACTCTTTTACAAAAGCCCCTCTAATTAAGCCTTTCCCCTTGGAATAGCATACCTCGCTTCCCCAGCCTTCTAAACTGATTCTCCCATATGATTTCAACATACAGAGTAAGTTTGGGAAACTTGTGTTCTTTAAGGGATGAAGCACTGAGCATTTACAGACTGAATACAAATAGCCAACTTTCAAACATTCTGACATTTAGCTCAGGGAAAGCCTATCATTCAGTCAACTGTCTGCTTCCATCCTGCTGTGTTCAAACTCCTTATTAAATCACCTGAAGCAACTTCTCCTTTTGCCAAGGTATGAATTGTGAGCAAGTCCCTAGATCTTCAGTTACATTACTCCAGGACTTACATTACATGCACGTACTTTTATCCTTTTAAATACATTGCAGCATGAGCATTGTACAAATGCCATGAACTCAGATGATCTCTGGGAGGGAGATCATGTCTCAAAATATGATAGGCACTGTTCTAACATTTTAAATAAAAAATAAAGCCATAAGACTTCTAAACTATTGCTAGATTTTCCTCCTAATAAATGTTCTCAGATGTACTTCTCACCAAAATCTTAGAGTAATATTATTTTATCCTCATTTCAAAATACTATTGTGATTAATTTCATGACTTAGAATTCTATGAGAAGGGTGCCCTTTCAGAATGCCACTTCAAGGAGGGCTATTACATAATTTGCCTTTTCAATTCTCTACCACTAAAGAAGTGCATTTATAAGAATTAAGACAAAAGTATTATAGATGGACGAATTCACAAGTTAAGAAGAAATACAGTACAACTACTGCACAAGAATTTTGTTGAATACATTCTTCTCTGAAGGTTACAGGTTTTGTCAAATATTTGAGTCTATAAAAACAATATATGAACTGT